TTGGGACTTCGTAGTGGTGAGTTCTCAGAATTCTCCAAAATAATAAACGTAGGCACAAAATCGTAATGCTTCGATTACTTTCGTGTAAGACAAGGTTAGATAACTTCTGATGTACGACAAGAAAAAGATGGCACTAAAAAAAGAAACGTATAGTGAGAAAGAAAAATGAAGATGTCGCTACCCTTTCTTGGAGGGAAAGGTCTGGATCTAGAAAAGATCTGGATTTTGTAGAGGCCATGATAACATAAGAATATTTTCTTTTTGCAGAAATTGTTTGACAATTTTAGCGATGTGTTTGGGGTCATTGTGATATTGGCAGGTATGCGATATTAATATTCCTTATTTTTTCACAGTTTCAAAAAGATTAGTTTCAAGTATTGTAATGTATTTTTCGATTGTCAATGTACCATTAATTATATGTTATTTACCTTCTTCTTTGTAGCGAAAATGATCCCATACCATAATTGATCTACCATTATGCACAACAGTTGGTATGATTAAATTTCATTTGTCAGCTTCCTTAACGTTCCATCAAACCATTTCTCATCTTCTATCAGATTTTAGCTCAAACTTACTCTCATCGCTCTAGCTAACATTCTTTTAAAAAAACATTGGTTCATTGATATATTTTTTTTGCAAAACGTAACCGAACTTGAGCCTTTTTTAGTGAAATATATGGTCTTTTTCTTGCTATGCTTATTTATATTTCGGCCACATAACTTTGCTTCGTATACAGAGTTTTCATATTTTATCTCGAACAAAATAATAAAAACACGTTCTTACCCTATTTCCTTTTAATTAGCAACCAAGTGACGAACGACGGTTACAATTATAGCAATATTCCTGAAATAAAATATGTTTTAAATTTGTAGTAATGTCGATTTTATAGAATTCATATTTTGTCAGCATAAATATCGGCATAAGTGTACGTATACTCATCGTGGTTCAATAGAGATATGTCGAATAAAATAGCAATAAAACTTCTTTCAGAGCACTATAAATGTTTCCAAACAAACAGTTTGATTGAAATAAAAAAATAAAATAAACTTACATTTGTAAGATAAATTATTAGGTCTGATTTGTTCCATTACAATAATAACAACGTTACATACTGAAAAGTGTAGCGATATTGCCACAGTGTAACAATAAGATGTCAGTGGTAATGATGTTACATATTAGAATATTTTATGTATTAAAAAGTAACGCAAATATTTCAGTATAATACGAATATGATACTTCAATGGAAACAATTCATGTGATATTGTAATATTATTAAGTAGGAAATAGAAATATCGATGGTACTTCCAAGTTATTTCACTGCAATACATTGAAAGAAATATTGAGTAAAAATTACAATGAAATGCATATTAAAAAATTCCTATGCCGCTAGTATTCTCAGGATACATAAAAAATTAATTAATTGTTAAAAATTTTGACTGTTGACACTTACTAAAATTTTTTAAATGCCATGCACAAAATTTATTGATACATTATTATTGTTAATAATTCCGTTATTATCAGGAGACACGTTTACTTCAGTAGTGTCTCGTGCGCCAAGTTTAAATGGCGGTGACGAAGGCACTGCCGTGTCTCTATTCTGCTTGAATCACAGTCTGTTGAGGTTATGCACTTTAAAATTGCAATATCTTTATTATAATGACATAAACATGCCATAAAAACTTCAGAAAACCTCATTAATTTACTTCAGGAATAGATTAAGTATGCTATTGTCTTCCAAAATTAATTATTTTAAATAATGAATAATTGGCCACGCCCGCATATACAAGATTTAAGAAAATACAGATTTATTTTTCTTAAACATACGATTTTTTTAATAAAGTTGGTACCATTGTGAGGTTGCTATAGTATAGTTATAAAATTAAGTTGGTAAACAAAATGTACAGCTAATTAAGGCGCTAATTATGAAATAAATTAAATATCATTATGTGATAATACTGACAATGATAAATAATAGTATATCCTTATAAATATCAATTAATTGTTTCATTATTCGATAACATGATAAGATGATGAATGAAAATAACATCAATCTTTGGTTATTTATATATAATCAATGACTTTTTTTATAAACAAATGCTCATATCTTGAGAACGGTAAGAGATAGAGCAAAAATAATGAAATTTTGGAGGTGTCTATACAGGAGGGGAGGTTGTACTTTTTATCCCCAACCCCACGGCAGATTCATATTTAATTGATTGCTGATAATTAGTGATTAAAAAACAATTTACTTTTTTAGTCATGAATACGGGTTTAGTCGTTCTTGGGGGTGTATCTACGTATACACAAAAGTAGTGAAATCACATACCAAGTGTGGCTGTTACACTAAATAAAAACCAAGCAGCTTCCGTAGCAGTCGTGGTAAAGACAAAAAATCTGGTGTCATTGGTGTTGATAGTAAAAGCTCTTGTGGATATCTGGAGATAAATTCAATACTGGCTCTGATACCGTGGCTGACGTTCGGAAGCAGAAAGAGCGAGTTTAGTGTCTTTGAATCTTGACATGAGCTCAGTCAATATCTGCTCGCAATTAAAGTTTTAGGACTTAACACCCCTTGAAATTCTCGCGGGTATTTTTTAAAAAAAAATTATACATGGTATGGTGCTCTGCACATCGCACGTGGGAAGCTATTTACTTTTTAAAATTTTTAGGAAGTTATCAACCTCCTTCACCAAAAATATTGTAAAATATAGCCAAATAATAACTTCAAAATTAAGAAAATAGTTAAAAATGTTCATACAGCTATTAATAGATAAGAAAAGACGTCCTGTCAATTCAAGTCTCGGTCATCATAAATTGGAGATAAACAAACTCTCCCCTCGTTGCTATAAACAATTTAATCGTCAAGCAACGTCAACATCCTACCAAACTGTCATTTATCCGTAAAACATTAGATGGTGACATATACATATTTTACAATATTAACTATAAATTTTATCCGAAAGCTAGAGATTCCCTCACATAATGTGTGAAATAATAAATTATAAAATATTTGTAATAACATATTCTTAGACAAATATCCATTTAAAATACACATAATACATACAATTTTTATTTTCGATTTTTATTTTTTTTTCTTTACAGCAGTATCTCCAATAATGGAATAGCAACAATGTTCTTTAAATGATTCTATGTACAATTTTTATTATAAGTATCAGCGATCTTTTTCAAACGCTCATTAATATCCGGATATGTTTTCCCGGGAGGAATTTTTTAGATCATATTAGATAAAATTATATCTAATTATGTATCAATTATGGGACTTTTAGATATAAGTAGATCTATTAAAATAAAATCAGATAAAATACGAATTTAACCCTAGACAAAACAAGATATGATAAAACAAGTCTTGATCTTTTTATATGTAATCAGATCTACTAAGACAAAATCAGTCAAAATACTATCCTGACCTTATAAGACAAGATATGATAAGACAAGTTTAGATTTTTTTAGATACAGTTAAACTCGGCTAGATGTAAAGACTGTTTGATGATGAGTTGAAATCTGCTTATTGTAACATGACTGCAGATTTTGTTTTATAAAAAAAAAACATTTAGCTCTGTAAAATAACTCATTTATTAGTTATTTTATTTTATTAGTTATTACAGGCGACAAATTCATTGACTTAAACGCTGCTATCAATCCACATAGTATGCAGAATAGTAAAGAGACTGATATAGATGGAAGTGAACATTATGAGGGTGCAAAAGAAAATGATGTAGATGGTGGTGAAGTAGCTGGTGAAGGTGGTGGCAGTATGGAAGAAAGAAATAATGATCTACCAGAAATTCATAATAACGATGACTCAGATGATGTCATGAATGATGATTTAGAACATCAAATATACCAAAAAGATGATATTGGTGTAAGAGTAATTTTTTTATGTTCATCTAATTTAATAGTTTTTATTATAAAACTGGAATATAATTTTTTGTTGTAAGTACGACACTTACGGAATGGGATATATGTTCAAAAAAAATTCATGCATCAGCGATAGCTAATGCATCTAAACCCACGCATTCCATTAGATTTTTGATGGACGGTGTATTAAAAATAAATAAAATAAAACATTGCACCTTAAAAGGATCTAAAAATCGAGAAATACTTCATCCAAAAGCCGTACAAGCCATTATTGGTATATCATCAAATTAATTATATTATTTGATCTCATGACTATCAATTTTTTTGAAATTGTTTATTAAATCATTGTTTTTCTTTTGTAGATGAAATAAAGCTTGTTGCACGAGCAAAAAATGGAAAAAAAATTCCATCAAAAAAAGATCAGGATCGAGTAATGACCCTAAAAATAGGAGAAATGAAAAACTCCACGGCGGAATGATTTATCTTATATCTAACTTACATCTAAACATATCTTATATCTAACTATATTATATTAAATAAATCTTATTTTTTTATGTTTTGTACCGAACAAAAAAATATATATATATTTTAATATAAATAAATACGTCTAGATCTTTTCAGATCTAAATAGATATAATAAAATAATGAAAATAATCTAAAAATTTTTTCCCGGGTTGCGAGTTGACATGACAATTTTAAACCCAGTTTTAATTTGATTAATAAAAATTTTGGTAAAATTCAGTTCTTCCTTGAAAGCATTTACAAGTACGTCAACGCTAGCTTTATGAATTGTGATACGATTCTTCCACACTATTATTGAAGCACAAGTTTTCCAGTTTTACTAACAAGAAATTCATCACTATCATTTCTTTTTCCCCACCTCAGACATGTATCATACATAATAGTTTTGCTCCTCTGTAGACTTTTTTTAGTTAGTCAAAGTTCAATAAATTATATTAAAGAAGTATACAACTTAAAAACAATACAAGTAAGCATGTTTTCGATGAATTCAATTCAGTGACCAATTTCAGAAATATTCCTTTTTCATCAACACTTTTTGGTACAACATTCGTCTATAATAGGTGTTATCATCTTGACCGACAATTTTATGAAATACTTACTTGAAAAGCTATATTTGGTGATGATTGTGGTGATGGCCTATTTATTAGTTGTGAAGTTCGGTAAGATCCTAATGACTTAGGTTGCTTTTTTTGTAGAAGTTGTAGATGTAAGGCTTCCTGTTGAAGAAATGGAAAAGCATGTAGATTTAAACTTCTTTTTCAGAAGTTCTGTATTGAAAACCATATCTAAAATTTCTAATTTTAATGCATTTTACATTCATGTCTTTGTGTAAGTAAATTTTGTCGTTCTTATGCTGCTGTTTTAATCTTTTAATAGATTTCAACATTTTCTCTATGTTTAATTTATCTGTACTATAAATAAATAATATGAGTAAAGTTAGGATATTTTAAAAATGATATTGTCACTGTAACGCAATTAGTGTAGGCTCCCGAAAATAATTATTTTGTCGTGATTAACCATCATGTATGTTTTAAATGGTTATTGTTTTTCGTTTGTAATGTGCTCATGCTAGAATATTCAAATTACACGTAATTCTGTTTTAATTTAATGGTTCGGACTAATATAAACCCTAACACCTATGTAGAATATGTACACCTATCTGAAATTGTTATAATTTTTCAATTAATGATTATGTTAATTCTTAAAACACAGTTTTGCTTTAGGAAACGCAGTTTTGGTTTGTCTTTTAGAATGCATATTTTTTATATTACAATCTTTATTTATTACTGACGCAATATTTTGATTAATATTTTACCTCAAGGATTTACGGAATATTAACTATAACCATCAATTGACTATTGAACTAACTATAAGACATTTTCTCCAGTTATTCATAAGCACATTAATGGTTGCAATTTCATTTCCCTGATACTAACAAATTCAGATATTTTTTTAAGAAATTTAAGAATTTGTCGCTACTCTTTTTGGACTCGATGGTAGAGAGAATGACGGTAAAGCATAATCAAATGTTAGGTTATATCATAAAATAACTTTTATTTATTGAAAATTTTTGAATAAAAAATAACGGTTTTGTAATTATGAAAATTAATACTTTCTTTCTAGTAAAAGCTCAACGAGCTGTTGCATTATAACCCTTTATAGTCCAGTCAATGTGCATTCTAAATACGAAATTTCGTGGCACAAGCCGGACCGGGCTCATTTTATAGAGAGAAATGCGTTGAATTTAATGAACTAATTACCAGCCAAAAAACCAGCTGCGTCATATTTTTTTTTTATTTAGAAATTACTTTTTCAAAAAATCAGGCATACTTGACTGGGAAAAAGTGAGGTGACTAAAATATTCTTTACATATAGGGAAAATTTTTTTTCCAGTCAAGTATGTCTGATTCTTGATTTATTGCTTTAGTAGTTGAAAAACCAATTGTCAGGCTAGAAAATATATATAGACGCATTGGAATCGGGAAGACTTACTTCTGGTAAAAAAAGTGTAATAATACACAAAAAAAAACATACAAAAAAATTTTCAATTATTATTATTAACTTTACTATTATTTTTACTACACTGAGGAAAAATAACAACTCCGCCAGGGGCTTAGAGAGAATGCAGTCTTGTCAAATGGATCATATTTGATACAGACACTTAGTAGATGAAGGCAAAGGCATTTTTTAAGCTAATTCCGTGGTGGAGTTAAACTCAGTCCATAAAACTCTGATTCATTGAGTAGCTCCGGTTCTCAAGTGTATATTGAACAAATCAATTTTTATGAACAAAAAGAGATTATTTCTATCTATTTTGGGTTGTTAGTAACATTTTTTTTAGTCAAGAAAAAAATTTCTCATCGAAAAAATTCGAAATATTAGCATACATAACGCGACATAAATGCTGTCTAATTTTTTGAAAGTTATACATCCGATTTCCTATACTCTCTTATACCAAATTCAGACAGCATTTATGTCGTGTAGTGTAGATAGCGTTTTTAATTGTTTTTAACACATTCCATCATTAGTAAAGAAAAATGTGGTCAGGAGAGGTACACACACAAAAGACATTTTTATTGAGCTTTATTATAATTTTATTAGCAAAACTGAACTATTTATCACGTTAACAATGAATCATTAACACTAGTAGAGCTTAGCAGAGCTTTTAAGAACTTTTTTTGAATTTGAATAGAGCTTAGAACAATTATTTGATAAGTAAACAGAAAGAGCGGTAATAGAGCACGTGTACCAGAGCGTCGCGTGAACGTTAATGGCTGCAAACACGTTGTAGCCGACGTCGGTAAACCTAGCACAATAGTAGGACAACTATCATTAGCTAGGTTGGAGAAAACGAGCTGTAATTAGTTAAGCGCTAAAAGAAGAGCTAGGATAGGGCGAGCGGGTCGGGTGAGCTCGACCGAGCACGAGCTGGGACGAGAGCTAGTCCAGCTGACAGGTTGCGGTTAAGTTTACGCAACACTTGCTAAATGTAGTGAGTAACTTGTTTTAGTAAAAAAAATCTTTTTTCATTAAATGATCTCGCATTGGTAGCGCAGATCCCGTTTTTAATTGTTATAAACAGAAAAGTGCATTTTTATTCATGTTACGTTGTTGGTAAAAAAACAATTCTTCTAAATCCATGTGATATTGTTATTTCCACTTTTTCAGAAAAAGAGAAAATATACCGTTGGAAGATCTCAAATATATTGCCTTGTCACACGACGGCAAGAGAGATTATCCCTTCCATTTGAACGGCGACCTACGTTGACCTCCGAGTGTAGCAGCTTACTAATCGCTCCTCCGGGAGGCTCCTACTGTTCCAGCGTCTACTATAACCATGTTTAACACTGAATGAGAATAATCATCGAAAGAACAGTTAGTCCACTTCAACGACTGCTATGACTACCCTAGAGGGAAGACAACACGCAATACGGTTAGCGGAGCTTACGTGGGACCTAGAGAATTGAGATGCTTACGCGGGGAAGCCCAACAGACAAGGAAGGTATCTTAGAATTACTGGAAAGACCCCAAGACTACAGATGTAGTCCGTTTGCTGAGTTACTGGAACCAGGGATTCTTCATCTACAGTTTAGTGAGCGTTATCAACTTACCTTAAGTAAAAGGGTCTTTGGGTGATGCAATCGTCATATATTGTAAATTGCACGCCAAGTCTCCAGTATCGTCACTGTGAAAACTAGCAGAAGACCTCTGAATCAGAGTCGCCATTTTAGTTAATGTATCTAATTCTAATTTACCTAAAGGTCAATTGTTGGGATTCAAACCCGCGTATAATTTGTTCTAAAGACTTTTCTGGGGATAGAAATAATTTGTAATGAAGGATACGTTGGATAAAATTTTCCTTGGTTCCTTTTGCAACACCCTTCGAGTTTTTGCATGCATTACAAGGGAGAACATCGGAGGAGGCGGCCAAGTAATACGTGGAGTCCACGACTAGACGTGACCTCTGAGCTCTAGGAATCATGAGAGCTTGGTACTTCCATCAACAGCAGTGTTGGCAGATGTTTACAAAGGGAATATTGTATCAGGGCTGTAGAATCATTGTACTTTCAGTGCAATTGTACATTTTGTAATTATTGAAAATTGTTAATCAATTTTTCTACATATTAAAAGCATTATCAGAAAATTACTATACATGTGAAGAAAACGATTTCTCTCGTAAATTTTTATAGTTTCTTCGGCCAACAAAATTTGGTACACTCCTTCTGTTACTTTCACGCATTGCGTTTGACGGTTTCGGCGCAGACATTCGTTTTAATGTCATATCGTCGAAATTGAATCTTTTTTCAATTTCAATGCAACCCGTAACAATAAATTGTGTACAGCCTTTAAAAAAATTATTTGTTCAATTTGTATTATTATGTATTTCAGGCAATTGTAATTCTATTGCGACTTTCGATCCTCGATATATATTTTCAGTGCGCAAAAACTTGACTTCATCAGAAAGATTTATATCTTGTATTGCAGTTCTATTAATATAATCTCTATCTATATAAGTTTTTAACAAATCAAGATATATTAGTTTAATTTCTTTATACATTCGCACTATTCATGTGAAAAACGAGTTTAGAGATGGTCATATATGATCAGATCAGTATTATCAGACTGTATAGGTCGGATCAGATGATACAGATATAATCAAATTCAAATTTCAGATCTGAAACGATCTGAATAGACATGAAATATCTATCCGGATACTAAAAGATGAAGGGTATTCAGATCTGTTTGAATTTGATCGGAACTAAAAAAAGTTGATAATTTTTTCTTGACAGAAAAATCAGATTTCATCCGTTCTGATCATATTGAGAAAAAAGTTTATCAGTCTAAATCTTAAATCTGAAAAAATTTAATCATCTGAACAGATTTAAAGAAAAATACATCATTTTCGTTAAAAGGAATCAGATCTGAGAAAAGTTGATTCTTGTAAAGGATAAAATAAGAATAAATAGCCGCAGTTATACAAATAGAAAATTCATAAATAGCATCTGAAGTTTTCTAGGTTAGCGTCGTGGTGACTATGCAAGTCTACGGTTATAAGGGTTCCAGGATCGAGTTTACCTAAGTTTTATTACTTTACGTCAAAAGTTATTTTCAGCACAGAAACTAAATCATAATCCTGTCATTCAACCAAATTATGTGAACTATTTTCTAAATTATGAGTTTCTAAATTATTATTGTCATTTTTATTATTATTATTATTATTATTATTTTCATCTTGCGATTCGTCAGAGGTGTCTGGCCAGGGATCCCAGAGCTCCGACCCACCTGGGGCCTGACCAGACGGAATTATCCTGCAGGCACCTGACTCCCTCAGGTTTGAGGGTGAGCCGGGGCTGCAGCCGTTCAGTCATTTGTTACAGTCGTCTCAGGATTCGGATTATTATTATTATTATTATTATTATTATTATTATTATTATTATTATTATTATTATTAATAGTAATTAAGTTTCTTATCTCTAATGCTAGAAATCCTCCATTAGTACCCTCTTCGATACAAATGGCATATTGAGTTCTCCTTCCAGCTCGAGTTTGCCTACGACTTGGTCTCTTTGGATTTTTTTAAATATTCTTCAAAATTCATTAACAAAAATATTCACGGCACGCGAAACGAACCACTTTCTGACACCAATGTAAAATAAGATCAAATCACAACTTCGAAAAAAAAATTAATAAAGGAAAAGTTTATTAAAGAATGATA